TAAAGAGTTCTTGACAAGGAAACATTGCTGCTTTTGTTGCCAGTTTAGCTATTAGAATGGTAGATGCAAGACTTAAACTTTCTCGTAAAACCTCAATAGACATACAAGGAAGAACCCTCTTTATGTGGCCTTCATATGTGTAAACCAAAACCAAACCAAATCAAACAAAACCAAACCAAATCAAACAAAACCAAACCAAATCAAACCAAACCAAACCAAACCAAACCAAACCAAACCAAACCAAACCAGCCTAATGCTGGTAATAGTGGTTATTGGTTAGCTTTCTTGTATATTTCTTTCAGATATTGCTTCTCTCTCAAGTAAAGCCAAGAATGACTATTCTTTAGGTTTCTAAGTTAAGTTGTATAACTACTTAAATTTCATAAAAGCACATATACTCATTTCCTTCAAACAAGACCATAAAACCTGGAACTTGAAGTCTTCAGACCACCATAGTAGTAATCTGACCACACCATTATTTTTCCATACATATGAATAGATATATATGTATATATGTATGTATATATATACATATGTATATTCATATACATATGTATATGCATATACATATACATATGTATATATATACATATGTGTATATATATGTATTTTTCTAGAGGCACTGATTAACTCCACCTTTGACAAAAACAAATAAATGAAAAACAAACAAAAATGAATAAATCTGGTGTGTTTTTTCATTCAGGGTATTTGTATCAATTTTACATATTGAAAAGTAGATGAAAAGCTGAATTTATCTCCAAGTCCCTGTGGAAGACACCACTAGGTGTGAACAGAATCCCCTTATATCTTTTTTAAAACCTCTCTTAGGCTTATCACATAGCTCACCCCTATCCCTCTCTGCTACCCATCAGCTGGCAGAAATACTCCCTACCAGGCATCCCAGAGCCTCAACACTTACCAAAGGTCCAGAAGGGGCAAAAGAAACTAAGGCAGAGAAACCTGCCCAATAACTATAAGACATAGACTTCCATCTATCAACATAGTACCAGGAACCACTGCTCAGAACACAATCCTTAACAACCAAGACAGTTTAGTTTCTCTCCACCAGAACCCAATAACCCCACTACACTAGACCTTGGGAAATACAATATAGAAGTACAAGGCAAGGACTTAAAGTATAGATTGTGTGTATGTTCCAGGACCTTGGAAACAATATGGATAAGCCCCTTAATTAAATCTGTGAGAACAAAAAAGTGAAATAAAATGATGAAAACAGTTCAAGTCATTAAAGTAAACATAGAATCATTAAGGCAGTTTCAAACTGAGATACAACTGCAAATAAAATTTAGAAAATCAAACAAAAATCCACTAAGTAAACATCACCAAGAAGTACATGACATCGAAGAAAGAATCCTGGTTATTAGAGGAAGGGCAGGAAAAAAAA